GATTGGCCAGAGCATCGGCTTGCGAGTTTTGTTCTCGGGGAACTTGGGTAGGCTTGCAGCTGTGGAATATTTCGATCAAGCGCTTTGCTACGGCAAGGTATCTTATCATACTGTCGTCTTTGGCCTGGTGGTCACCTTGGACCTGGCTGATGATAAACTGGGAGTCGCTGAAGACATGGATCTCCTCTTCTCCCATTTGCTTAGTGAGTGAGAGCCCTGTGATTAGGGCCTCGTACTCGGCTTCATTGTTTGTAGCTTTGAAGTTGCATCTCATCGCTCTTGATGCTGACTCGCCGGTGGGGGAGGTTAGGACTAGGCCCACTCATGTCCCTCTTATGTTGCTGGACCCGTCAACGTGTAGGGTCCATTCTCCTATTCCTCCTGCTGAGCCCTGGAAATCCACCTTGGACTCCAGGATCGGAAGCATGGATGGTGAGAATTCAGCGACGAAGTCAGCGAGCACTTGTGATTTGATGGCTGTAATAGGGTTGAAGATTACGTCGTATTCCCCAAGCTCAATCGCCCACTTTGCGAGGCGCCCTGACACCTCTGGTTTGTGGAGGACGTCTTTTATGGGGAATGAAGTGATTACCCTGATTTGATGGGCCAGAAAGTAGGGCCGGAGCTTGTGGGCCGCTGTAACCAGTGCTAGGGCTAGCTTTTCAAGGTGGCTGTAGCGAGTTTCTGCGTCCAATAAGGACTTACTCACATAGTAGATAGGAGTTTGTTTCCTTTCTTCCTCTCTCACGAGGACGCCGCTTACTGCATGCTCGGACATGGCAAGGTAGAGCAGCAGGACCTCACCATCTAGAGGTTTTGAGAAGAGAGGAGGTGTTGTGAGGTAGGATTTGAGGTCGTCGAGAGCGAGTTCGCACTTATCGTTCCATTGGAAATCCTTAGGATTTTTCAGGGTCTCGAAGAAGGCGTGAGATTTCTCGGACAACCTGGAGATGAACCTGCTCAATGCGGCCATCCAGCCAGTTAGCCGTTGGGCCTCCTTCACATTTCGAGGGGGAGGGATCGCCTAAATGGCTCGCACCTGTTTTGGATTGGCCTCGATGCCCCTGTAGGTGACTATGTACCCCATGAATTTTCCGGAGCTGACCCCGAATGAACACTTTGAAGGATTAAGCTTCATGTTGTACTTCCTGAGGGTTACGAAGGCTTGTTGTTGGTGGCAGATGTGATCTTCTGCCTCGAGAGACTTGACCAGTATGTCATCTATGTAGACTTCCATGGCCTGTCTGATTTGTTCAGCAAACATTATGTTCACGAGCCTCTGGTATGTAGATCCCACATTTTTCAGGCCAAAAGATATGACCTTGTAATAGTAGATGCCCCTTGGGGTCATGAAGGATGTCTTTTCCTGGTCGTCTGGATGCATGAGGATTTGGTTGTAGCCTGAGAATGTGTCCATGAAGTTCATGAGCTGGTGGCCTGCGGTGGCGTCGACGATCTTGTCGATATGAGGTAGGGGAAAAGGATCCTTGGGGCATGATTTGTTGAGGTCGGTAAAATCTATGCAGACCCTCCATTTCCCATTCTTTTTCCTGACCACGACCACGTTGGCCAGCCACTCGGGATACGTTTTCTCTAAATTCCTCAACTCAAATACTTCTGATTCTTACATTCTATCATCAGGAACCAGCGAGGCTGGCAGGAACCGAGATCGATGGAGAGCATTTGCATGGCGAACACGCTTTGGAGTAAAGCTATCCCAACGACATTCCCCGCCTCGGTGAAAATTCATAACAATGAGCAGGCCTTCAAGAAACGGAGGGAGAGGGTTGATCTCTGGAAAGATAAAAGCAAACAAATGAGATCGAAATTCTAAACAAAATACACATGCAATCGAGTCACGATACCTTTCCGACCCCATCTGGTCCAGAAAAGCGGGATACAGTTCTCCTCCACCGATGCACTATCAACGCGAACATAGAAAAAATGTTACTTCCAAAAAGATAGTTCGACGAATTGTCAGTAACAATCGACATGTCGCGACGAGGGCATAACCGAACCCTACCTGAATTCCCCTCGGGCAACAATCTCCGTAATCGGAAACCACAAATGACACTGCATTAAGAATGCATCATAGCACGTAAAGTAGCCTTCAGGCGCGGTCTCGTCATCCTCTCCAGCCATCGGAAGGCGAAACTTCACCGCTTTCGAAATACGACAAAAATGCCAAAAGGAAACAAGGCCATTGGGACAGGTCAGACTCGGACATCCGTCGATACGGTTGGCACATAATTGAGGCAGAACCCAGGTCCCGGGTTTGGCAGACCTTGCTTCACCCCCGGCTGCTCTATACACATCGACCTCCTCGAGATCAGCCAAAGGCATCACAAATTCTTCCTTTGGCTCTACAACGCAATATTGCGAGTTGGCCCCACCGAGACTGTAATGTTCGGAGCTAGTCTCGGAGCGAGTTCTCTTCTTTGAAAACATGGTCAAAGATATCAAAGGGGAAAGGAAAGGTGAGAGAGAGAGGAAAAGAAACGTATCTACCTTAGGATAAATTAGGTGGAAAGAAGTGAGTAAAGAATTTGAAAACTTACTCCACATAATTATAAGCAATATTTTACTATTTATCTTCGGACTTTTGGTCATTAAAGTTCTGCCTAATTCTACCAAACTTGCCTAACAAGTTCAAACCACTCACAAGAACTCTGCGACTCTTACAAACTGGGGGGCTAACTGTTAGGGTCAAAATCGGTTACAACAGAATCAACGACCAAAACTCTCCGCAAAGTTCAACATAATTTTATAAAAATACGAGGAAGTGTCGAGGAGAATTCTAAAGACTCTCCGAGCAAAGGAGCTCCGCAAACTTAAAAATAGCCATCATGGAAATCACCGGAAAATCGAACAAAAAAACCCACGGTTGTCCGACTAGCCAACGTAGCAAGATCGGTTCATAACGTCCAACTCGCCAAAGCGGCGAGACTGTTCAAGACCATCCAGCTCGCCAAGCCGGCAAGCTGGCCGTGCCAAACCAGTTCGCCAAGCTGGCGAGCTGGACAAGCTCAACCAGCGCGCTGTCTTGGCGAGCTGGACTGTTCCATCCAGCTCGCCAAACCGGCGAGCTGGCCGTGCCGAACCAGTTCGCCGTCTTGGCGAGCTGGACCGTGTCATCCAGCTCGCCAAGCCGTCGAGCTGGCCAAGCTCAACCAGCTCGCCTTCTTGGCTAGCTGGACAATGTCCTCCAGCTCGCCAAGCCTGCGAGCTGGCCGAGCTCAACCAGCTCGCCGTCTTGGCAAGCTGAACCGTGTCCTCCAGCTGGCCAAGCCGGCGACCTGGCCGATCTCAACCAGCTCGCCGTCTTGGCGAGCTGGACCGTGTCGTCCTCTGAACCGTGATCGGAACATCTCTCGTTTCGTCTTGATCCGTATTATCGTTTGAACTTTACGAAAAAAATCGCTAAAGACCTGTTTCTTGTAAAGATTCGAGTAAATTGTATAATACGGCAACGGTTAATAAAACACCAGAGATTACCAAATTTTACGATTGACTCAAGATGTTTTATAAAAACGGCATCGTATCATGGAACGATCTCGTCTAAAATCGTAAGACGGCTAAGGCGCAAAACAGCCTGAAGGGTTCTAAAACGCGATAAAGGCCCACTTACGAATTTAGACAAGGTCCAGCCCAAAGATATGGTGACGGTTTACCCGTTTATTTGCAGGAAGAAGATAAATGTAAAGTTCGGAGAAAAATAGAAGTTTTCCAAGGATAAATATGGAGATCGAGATAAATGGAAGATTTTCAATAAACATGAATCAAAGCAGAAAAGGAAAGATTGAACCGTCTAGAAGAGGAGTATATAAGCACAAGGTCGAAACCAAGGAGAGGAGGATCTCAGAGCTTTCATCACACAAAAAAATTAGCACTTAGGACATATAGGCAACTTTCCGTTTTTGTTATCGAGCTGCGTCTCAACTAGGGTTTTAGTCTTAGGTTGCTAGAACTAGGGAACTCGCCGTCAGCTCTCGTGGCCAAGGCTTTACCTCGTTATACTGCTCTTATGCTAATTCAGAATAAGAAATCTTTTTGCTCTCTTTTTCGATTCTCATATTTTTCACCTGTTTATTTCGTATCTTTGATTGATTGACGTGTGGTTAGCATATATCTTAGACCTCTGGGAAAGTTAAGTTATCTTGACGTTTTTTCATTTACGGAAACAGTACGAATTTCAGTTCCCACATCTACAATATATGTTTTATGAAGATTCACGTTTAATTGCATCAATCTAATCTGTCTTAAGAATCCACATTTGATGTGGTACTCTTTGCACTAGGCAATTTTTACATTAATTTGCATAATTTTCCTTAGGATTCAAAACCTTAAACTTTCTGGCGTATAAACATTCGTAAATCTTTAGTCAAAACCAACCAACTAGGAGAGCTTCCCCAATCAGAACAACTATATATTTACCTTTGAAACATCTTAATGTGTTAAAGTTTGTTACATTTCAAATAGTTATCGTAATTCCAATCTTATACGTACAGCTATTATAACCAACACTCTAAACTTGATCCTCCCCAAAATAAAATGCTAGAAGCATGCATGCCAACGATTCATTTCAAACTATTGAATCATTGATTTTAATCCCATAGTTTTCAGTTTTAATTTTTCTTTCACTCAATGTATTTGGATTTTTTAACACATCCCAGGGAATTAATTATTATGAACTTCAGTCCAAAATCTCCTGGTCGAAGGAACAATTCAAATTCAATCTTGAAAACGCTTACCTTATAGAATCTTGATCATTTCAAAATTTTAATCAGAGGCTACAACAAACAATATATCCTAATCAAAGAAATATGTAATCTAAAATATAAATTTGATCCATATGAACTAAAGTTGCTTTCTTTTGAAGTGACATGGATTCAATAATTATGCACCAATAAGCTTTTGCTTTTGTCTTTATAATCGTTTTATAATCATGCACGTTTTAGCACCTCTCTCACTTTCTTCCTTTATAAGTCCCTCAGACATCCTCTCCTTAGCTCCTAAGTAATCAAACCTCAAAAACAACATTTTCTATCTCTCTTTCTCTCCCTAAAAACCTAATGGATCAAAACGAATCTATAAGCGAGAAGCTATGGAACATCGTACGTTTCCTCTTGTACAGATCCGCAAAGGCGTCTCCAAACACAAACTCGTTGCCGACTTCAACGCCACTCTCAAACGCGGCAAGAATCTCATGTTCCACCACCGTCGTCGCGTCCCCGCCCTGTCCACCGCCTCAGACGCTACTTCATCCGCCGCCGCAGCTGCACCTCTACGAGAAGAATACGAGTTTAGCTGTAGCAACACTCCAAACTACTCGTTCTCTTTTACCAGTATTACCTTCGTGAAGAAAAAGAGTCACAATAGTCTCTTCGCGTGTGGTCAAACGCCTCAGCCGCTCGATGATGACGCGGCTGCTGCTAGAGCCATTCTTGAGCTTCTTAACGGCGTCGGTGACAAAGGAAACGTTACACCGGTGAATTTGTCGGTGGCTTTGTCTCCTTACTTTCCAGGGTTTGGCCGGACTCCTTTGGTAAGGCCATTAAGAGTAACGGACTCTCCGTTTCCGTTAACCCCAGAAAATGTTGACATGGAGAAAGCCCACGAGGACCAAGCTGCTGATGATTTCATAAAGAAGTTCTATAAGAACTTAAATCACCAGAAAAAGTTGATTGAGTTCAGCTAAAAGACAACCTGATCAGTGTGTTTCTTCATATTTTGCTCTTCGTTAAATATTTCTTGTACTCTTTTTTTTCTTCTCCCTTTTGCTGATAAAATGCGAAAGATGTATATTTTGGGGGAATTGTATTTTCGCATATCTTGAAACAATTGAATAGTATCAATAAAAAATGAATCAGGTTTTATTAATCTATGGCTGATGGCTAAACAAATTGATTCCAAGAAATTTAGTCAATCTTCGAATCCACTAAGTTTCACAAGGACAACATAATGTGTTGCAATTAAACTAGTTATTCTTTTCTATAAATGCTTTTCGTTTCCTCTAACCTAAGAATACTTCGACGAGATATTTTTAGCTTATCATTTAAAACTCAAAACTAGTAAACATAACAGTTCAAAATACATATTGTACGCAAAAATAGTATTAACTGTGAAGATTATAATAAATTTAGTTACGATAGACTAATGTTTCATAAAAGATGAATCCAATAATGATTTTGAAAAATAATACAGTGACACGCGGACTATAATTTTTAATTTTTTTGTTTTTGTCTGGTGACAATCATAATAATAATCTGGAAAATTAATGGGAATTCTATTATATAGGTTAATTTCACTTTTGTATATGGGAAATATTGCCCTCCTTCGATTAGTATCAAGCCTTGTTTGAAAACTTACTAGCCGCAATCCATACGGTTGAACTGGGGGCGAGCGAGTTAATAGAAAATCAGAAAAAATAGAAATTATTCGAGAGTTTATTAGGATATTATCTAATCTTTGCTATAAAATATTTTGGTAACCTAATTGTACATATGGTCCAGTGGTTAGTTGCATTGTAAGTAGTCACACAGATTCAAAGTTCAAACGTACATTTTCTTGTTTTAATCACTTTTATAATTAAGAGCGAAACTGTCACTTCGATTTCATCTTCTTCCTTGACTCTCAACCATAATTTGCAGCCGCCTGCACTTTTCTTCAACATTATTCATCAATTTTTAGGTGTTTTACTTCATTTAACCTTTATTTTTATGTTATTGATAACAAAAAATATGTTGATTTTATGATGTAAGAGCATATGGAATGGCGTACTCCACTTTGGAGTCCTTAGCATTAGTTTAGTATTTTTTTTTTTTGAATAGTTAAGGATTGAAAGCAAATTTATGTGTCTAATGGTGTTTCCGAACATCGAGTCCTTAGGCATTAAAATATTATTTTGTTTAAGAATTTGTTGTTTTACATTAAAATTAAAAATTTATTAATTGCATGATTTCTTAAGAAAGATACAATGATTAAAAAAAGATACAATGATAAAAGAAAAATACAATAATTTTAAAAAGATACAATGATTAAAAAAATTACAATGATAAAAGAAAAATACAATAATTTTAAAAAGATACTCTAATTTTTTAATCTCCATCACCAAATTTGTTCCAAATATTTTCGATTAAATCATTTTTCAATCGGTCATGAACACGCCTATCACGAAGATCATTCCGAACGCCAAACAAATTATGCAGATTTGTAGGCCTCTCAGTTTCCACCTGTGAACTTCTGGTGACGTCTCCTTCTTCAAATTCCGATATATCGAACTGCATGTATCCATCTCGTTCATTTTCGACAATCATATTGTGTAATATGATACATGCTCTCATAATCTTCCCTATCTTAAACGTAACAAGTACGATTTTCTCAGGTCTAAAACACTACTATCATTAAACACATGTCCTTATTTCTTAAAGCAAAAACAAGTACTCTAACCACTACTAGCATTAAACACAAGTAAAGCATGACGAGAAATGTTTAATTTTTTCCAGATAAAATATCTAACCTATATGTATTTATCACTAAAATAAATATGAGAAAATATCGTACCTGCCAAGAAAGTTTTGAGTTTAGACCATGTGCTTTAAATCCTTTGAAGCTTTTCCTTGAAACACATAAAAAGTAAAACAGTTAGAAGTTATATATTGTTCAAAGAAATTATCTAAACATGGATTGAAACTTACCAGCCCATTACCATGACGGCTATTGCCATGACCAGTAGACATGATCCTATTTCCATGACCAGTTTTATGTTCTTCTTACTTAACACAACCACGATCTTCTGTAACTTAGTCACTTTCTGGTCAGTCTCAAAGAATTGATTCTTCAGCAGCCTCAGTTGTGTCTGCATCTCACGCATCTCTTCCATAACTGCCACATCCTGCCATTTCCAGATGTGGCAGTCTCCATCAGAAACGTTGTCACACGTGAAGTACCGCCTGCCTGGATCTCTTTGAGTGTATGATGTTTGAAGGACAGGCTCAGAACCGCAATAGCATGTCAGAGGGATACCTTCATCGCCCTCAGGTTGCGGTTGATACTGAACATCTCCAGTAGCGTACCCACTCTCAGCTTCATCCTGGTAGAGGTCAGCTTCTTCTTGAAGTAAGGAGGTCATGTCAAACTCATCTGATGACGAAGGCTGAGTGTAGCTATAGTCCTGTCCCATGGTTCTTTGACCTGCAAACAAGACATAAACAACATAGAGCAACAACATTATAAACAGACATCAACAACATAGACAAAAAAAGCAAAGTTCAATAACATATACTAAAGAACAGAGAGCAAGATACATAGACAAAAACTAAAACAGTTCACGAATGAGAAACAATATAATCAACAAACAGATTCTCTGCTAGCTATAAATAAATTACTTCCAAAACCGTAATAGACAACCAAGAAGATCCATAAATCAATTGAGACAGAAAACATATTCATCCCCGAACAACAAACCAAAAGATCACGCATGCAATTGAAAACCCTAATCTTTTAGAAACCATGAATCGAAGAGATCCCTATATCAATTGAACCCCAAGAGAATTGAAACCCTAACTGCAAACCAAAAGATCCCCAAACCAATTGAAAATACGAATCTTTTAGAAATCCTAAATCGAAGAAATTCCCAAATCGATTACACCCGAAAACCCTAAACTACAAACCATTAAATCCCCAGATCAATTGTAAACCCGAAACTTGTGTTGGAACCTAAATCAAAGAAAAACACAAATCGAGTCAAATCGAAAAAGAAGAATAGAGAGAGACGAGAACGACAAGAAACCTATATCTAAACCTTCAATCTACCTCAGCATAATACGATTTAAGAGATCTGATCTTCGACGAACACGATCTAGATGGATCGGAATCGCCTTCTCCTCACGAGCTCTGATTTTTTTTCTTTTCTCTCGGTCGAAAATGAATTTTTTCGACAAAACCAAAGCCCAAAAGAACGACCCATGCTCTCCTCGTGTGACACGTGCACTAAGGACCAAGTCCTTCTGGTCCTTATTTACGGACTGATCCGTGATAAAGCAAACGAAAATATCAATATTATATTTCACTAATCGCGTCATTAAGGGCTAAGGATTCCCTAAGGACCACCGTTGCATATGGTCTAATGATTGTTTCCGAACTTGAAAATACTGAAATTTTCTTTTCACCAAGTTTTTACCCCGAGGTAAAGTCACCAGAGACGTTTACCGTTCAAAGTTTAATCGCTGAGGAATTGGCCGCCTCGACCTCGTTTTAGAACAAGGGTGTCAAGTTATCAACCATTTTGTACGGTTTGATTCAATTGTATACATGTCATGACCCCAAAATAGACCCAAAAAGTTCATAATTTGCATATTGTTTTATTACATCTCGATGATAGAATTTAAGCTCCTGAAACTCTATCACACTCAAGAGAATCAATGTATATATGTAACTGCTATTTGTATAAAGAAACAATTGAGATCCATTGGCTTAACCCACACAAATTTCCTCAAGACTCACGTCTCATCTCAATATACAAAAGCTGAATAAAATGTATGCAACAAACTCGTATTTAAAGCTATTCGAATTTCTAACCGCAAATACTCTTTCTAGAGTAGAGTCTCTCAATCTTCCTTGCTGTTGACCAAGGAATTACTTGACTTATCCATGTCAGCTTCTTTCTCCACTTCTTTTCCTTCCTTCCCATGCTTCCTCTTCCTCACATACCTATGAATGAGCTTATCAATACCCCCTTTTTCGAAACAGAGCTTGTCCTCAAGCTTGTAGTCAGGGTAGTGATTAAAGAACTCGCCATATAACACCTAAGAGTTCTCCGACGATGGCAATGAACGCCACTTAACCAAAATCTCCAAACTCTTTTTATCATTATAACGTGTATCAAGGACATCTTTAGAGGTGATCTCCAAATCTTCTAGCATTGCGGGTAAAGGAAAACACCTGATGATGAGATCCCAAAACTGCCTTCCGCTGAGATACATGGAAAACTGAATGTATCTTAGCTTCTGGAGATAATGCCAATCGATATGCAGCTTTCCCAATTCGCTCTAGAATCTCATAGGGACCAAACAATTTTCCTGACAGATTATGACAGACCCGACGTGCCACTGATTTCTGCCTATAAGGCCGGAGCTTTAAGTAAACCAACTCACCAACTTGAAACTCCAAATCATGATAATGTTTGTCTGCATTGTTTTTCATCAGTTGTTGCGCATGTATAAAGTGTTTCTTTATATCAACCAACATTGCATCCCTCGCCTGCAACAACATCTCCAGATCCGTATTACTTGTTGAGACCGATTTGTACCTCAGTAACGAAGGTGGATCACGTCCATATACAACGTAAAAAGTTATTTTTAGAGACGTATGATAAGACGTGTTGTGCTAGAGTTCCGCCAAAAAAAGGTAGCTGAACCAATTACGCGGGTGTGACAAAGCAAAGCAGCGAAGATATGTCTCCAAACATCTGTTAGTAACCTCAGTTTGGCCGTCTGTCTTTGGGTGGAAAGCAATACTAAACTTCAGAGTAGTATCTGCTAAATGGAACATCTCACGCTAAAAGTTACTTAAGAAGATCCTGTCTCTGTCGGAAACAATAGACTTTGGAAAACCATGCAGTCTCACTATCTTTGTGACAAGCTTCTTTCCCCCAAAATGTGTATATTTGCTCAAACGATCTATGACCACCAAGATGTCATTATGACCCTAATAAGTGGGTAAACCTTCAACAAAGTCTATCGATATGTCCTCCCAAACCGCAGCAGGAATCGGTAACGATTGAAGCAGACCCGCCGGACTCAGAGTCGAGTACTTGTGTGTCTGACAAGTATGGCAAGAAGCCACAAACTGCTGAACCGTTTTTGACAAACCCTCCCAATGAAACCACTTCTGTACTCGTTTTATAGTTTTGAGAACACCAGAGTGACCACCTTGTAACCCATCATGACACTCCCGTAAAACCGTCTCTATGAAAGCAGAATCCTTATGTAGAACCAATCTGTTTTTATACCACCTTTCTCAATTCCATCTCCCTTGTTGACACTGTTAACCTGCAGAGTATCTGATTCGGCGATTTCCTTATACACATCCTGTAGCTGCAAGGATTCAAGAACCGTGAAAGCAAACAACATAAGCTCAGCTGAGTGCATAGAAGGTTGTTCAATACGAGGAAGATCATCTGCAGCTATGTTATGTATCCCTGGTTTGTAAACAATGTGGTAATCATACCCCAACAGCTTGATTAACCACTTTGGTATTCCCTACTAACTTCTCTCTGCTCCAAAAGATATTTAAACTCTTCTGGTCAGTGTGTACCACAAAACGTCTTCCCAACAAGTAATGCTTCCATTGAAGAATCACTAACACCACTGCCATAAGTTCCCTTTCGTAAATTGGTTTAAGCTGTTCCCGAGAAGTCAGACCCTTATTGAAGTAAGCAATAGGACGCCCCGCCTGCATCAACACAGCCCCAATCCTAAAGCTTAAAGCATCACACTCCACCACAAACAAACAATTGAAATCAGGTAATGCCAACATTGGATTTGTTATCATTGCTCGTTATAACTCATCAAAAGCTGGCTGAGCTGTGTCAGACAAAAAAATTATCGGTCTTGAGTAAATCTGTCAAAGGACGAGCCAAAGAACCATAACCTTTCACAAACCTTCTATAGTACCCAGTTAACCCCAATAAGCCTCGTAATTGTTTAATGCTTCTAGGAGTTCGCCAAGTCCTCATAGACTATGTTTTCAACTGATCCGTAGAGGCCCCTTCTGATGTGGTCACATGGCCCAAGTATTCTATCTTGTCTTGAGCATAAAGACACTTCTTTCGGTTTTCAAACAACTGGTTCTCAACAAATACTCTTAATACCGTTTCCAAATGCTGCGCATGTTCAGCCCTACTCTTGCTGTAGATTAAGACATTGTCAAAGAAAACCAAGACGAACTTAGTCAAGTAAGGACGAAACAAATCATTCATCAAGGACTGAAATATTGATGGAGCATTTGTCAAGCCAAAAGCTATAACCAAGAATTCTTAATGACCGTCGTGAGTACGAAATGCAGTCTTTGGTATGTCTTTCTCCTCCATTCTGATCTGATGAAAACCTGCGGTAAGATCCATATTTGAGAAAATCTAAGCTCCTTTTAACTCTTCCAACAAATGATCAATCATAGTTATTGGATACTTATATGCAACTGTTGTCTGGTTCAATGCCCTATAGTCAACACAGAAACGCCAAGACTTGTCTTGTATACGTACCAGTAGTACTGGACTGGAGAACGGGCTCTTACTAATACGTATAAGACCTTTGGTTAAAATCTCAGACACAATCTCATTCATAGCTTCTTTGTGTGCCTGGGGATAACGGTAAGGACGTGCATTGATAGCTGTGGTTCCCTCCTTTAACGTAATAGCAATCTCACAGCCTCTGATGGGAGAAAGACCTTGTATTTTCGCGAACACATGCTCATACGAATCTAAAACCGTGGAGATCATTCTCTCCTATCAACATCTCTTTCTTCTCCTTATACCAGAAGCTCCACTCATGAGATGTCCAATCAACTTCACACTTCCCCAATGTACGAAGCCATTGCACTCCCAAGACCACATCTATTGTACCCAGCTCCAAAGAGATGCAATCGATTGTAAAATAAAGGCCTTATACATGTAGGTTGACATCTTTACAAGTGCCTCCACCCATTGTTGTCAACCCTGTACCCAACAACACCTACCAATTTGAGTTGTCTGCAAACTTCAACCCTGCTCGTTCAGCCAACTTAGGAGTCACAAAGTTATGCGTGGCCCCACTATAGATCAACACCACTGCAGGTACTCCTGCTAATTTCCCACGCAACTTGGTTGTAGTTGGGGAATCTATTCCCAAATAAGCGTAAAGAGATATCTGCATAAACTGGGGTTGTGGAATGTCTTCCTCAGAACCTTCCTTGTCCTCTGCTACCTCCCCATACGTATCATATAACACTTCCACTTCCAACCTATCCATTAACATTAGAATTTGCAGCTCTGGATTGGCACAGACATGACCTCGGAACAAACTCATCTTACACTAGAAACAAAGTTTTAGCCTCTTCAACTCAGCTAATTCTGCTTTGTTCAGGTGTAATCGTAGTCTCTAAGGTAAGTTCTTGTGCGTCACATCCTGCTTACCCTTATCGTCCATGTTCAATTGCAACGGACGATGAGGTAAATGGTTTTGTTTTAGTTGCCGGTGGTGAGTGTTGTTGTTCTGAACATGCTTCCCTGAGCGTGATCTTTCTCCCATCACGTGACAAAATGTACTACTCTCCATTTTGACAATTGTGGATATGTGGCTACGTAAGCCTTTTGGTTCTTTGAGCTTAATAACTTCTTTCATCTCTGGTTTAAGCCATGTATAAAACTTGCTTATGAGATTAGGCTCATCAATTCCCTTAACCTGAGTTATCAACTCTTCAAACTCATGTACATACTGACGGAC